GCGATTCAGATGAATGAAGCAGTCGTCAGCCGCATGCGTTAAATACAATACGCGTTTACACTCAAGCCAGACATAAAACATCATGGCAAGCTTTTCAGCCACGACAAGTAAAGTTGCAGTTGCGCTGCCACTGGAGTGATGCTGCAATGCTAGCCCACAATCGAGTACCAACTGTCAGGATGGCTCAACTCGACCATACGAAGTTTCTCGATACCCGGGGACGTGACAAAAGATAGTTTGAAAAGCTCAATGGGTCGATGAAAATCCTTCGTCTGTTTATAATATGCTAGAGGCTGTAGATCCCTGCAGTCCTGTCTCTAGATGTCCTTCTCATAAACCGCCCGATTGATAAATTGCCCCTGATGTTGTGGTTGTATCCCATACGATATTCGGAGACCTCGGATATCAAGCATGTATGGAACTCATATCAGTTCACATCAAAGACTGGATTGTGGAACAGCATTTGACTGAGCATCCAAGGAAGGACGGTCAATCAATTAGCTCATGGTCTCAAGATCCTGCATGATGCATCTGCGAGTGTCAGGAATAGGGAAAACACAGGCATTTGAAATTCCGCAGAGCGTATTATGTAGGGAATTCAGAAGCGAAACGGAAAGCTATCATTGAAGGTTGGTTGGTAGCTTTCAAGTCTTGTTCAAGAACAGAGACCATATATTCTGGGCAACGTCAAGTAGTGAGTTAGTAGAGGCCTTTAGAGGAATATATTCTAGACTACAACCGGGCAATCAACTGCAACAGAAGTTGAAATGTATATCACTGTATCACATAGTCCAAATTGAGATTTCATTTTATGATGAAATCGTTTACTCTAAACTAATTGCATTCTTTTCGGAATACCATCGGGATAGTCCCACATTTCCCTGCGGAACATCGGGGTAACGCGGGGTGTACATTTTTCCCCCGGTTGCGGATCGGAACGCCAAAACTCTCTCCAGCTAAGGTCCCAAATGACCCCTCAATTAGCACGTGGCTGTGCCGAATCCGGAATAACAAGACGTCTCTTCTATTTCATGCCCATTTTCACTTCAGCTATTCTACAACTCACAAATCCATCTCTCGACAGACCGTGAGCCCATCCTCATTGCAGAAACAGACTAGATACCAATCAGCAACATGTCGTCCGAGAACACTGATAAGCTACGTGCCGAGTTATGGGAGCAGGGCTTGAAGAACCGCCGTGAGGTAGTCGGGGAGAGCTACGTCGATAATGCCATGCGAAATGGCTCCAGCGAGTTTGCTTTTGCCCAGCAGGAGCTCATCACCGAGTAAGAGGCCGCCCCAGACTGTCATCTTAGGTTTATTGAGCTGATGCGTGTTTAAAAGATGGGCTTGGGGAAACATCTGGTCCCGCCCGGGCCTCGAGCGCAAGCAGCGAAGCCTGTTAAGTGAGTGACTTGAGACCCGGGTGTAAGCTGTCGCTAACAATCTGTAGATATTGGAATGCTCATTGCATTGAAGAGCTGGGCTGAGTTTGACATTCACATTCGAGGAGCCATTAGAAATGGACTCACCGAAATCGAGATTCAGGAGGCAATTCTTCAGGCTACTGTGTACTGCGGAGCACCAGCCGGAGTTCAGGCCATGAAGGTTGCCGACGAGGCTATCAAGGACATGGTCGAGAAGGGAGAGCACAAGAGGCAGATGGCAGAGGTCTCTCCTAAATACAAGAAATAAGGGTGCGAGGATAAAGATTATTGCTTGCGTGTTAGAAAGCATCAGTACCAACAGTGTCTTCTAATATTGGCAAGAAGCTTCTCCTGATTCTGTATGTGAGCTGTTTAGAATTGTTAGGCGTAGAATTGCTAAGTCCTGTGACTCCCGAAGCTTCATGGATCTCATGGTTATTGCCTGCTCCCTGTGAAAGGTTTTGGTGGGTTTTTTGGGCTAAATAACACAAAAGTGGAAGCAGACTCAAATGTGGAAATACAAATTGAACCAAAGAACTCAGAATCACTGTCGCAAATTGATTTTATTAGGTGTCGCTATCTGTAAAAGAGACGCTGTGTTATCGTGACTCACGGCGAAAATGCCTGTGAATGTTCTTTATTGTGCTCAGCGACCGCAAAGAGCATAGTGCTTTGTCCAACCATCCGTGTACCCCTCTCCACCTATATGCTCAGGGGGCCTCGGCGGCAGCGACGGCATTCTGATCAGCCCGAGAAAGGTTGTAGTATGGCTCCAGAGTTTTGTAATGAATGTCTTTGAGGTGGCGGCGCAGGGTATCGTTGAACGAATATTTGTCATGACAGTGCACGCAGACCTTAGTAGAAAGCTTTGCGCGCTGGTGGGCTCTCTTGGCTCTTTCATTAGCCACCTTTGCCTTAGAAGCAAGGTCTGCATCTGCGGGAGACTCTGCAGCTTCAGCTGAAGCCGCAGCCGCCTTGGTATCGAGGTCGGCAAGATGAGCAGCGCAGGAAGCAGCAGCCTCAGCTTGAAGATGGGCAGGGATGGCAGCGAGTAGAGCTGGGGCGCTTGCAGAGATTTGGGCCAGAATGGGATTGTTGATGGCATTCGGAGCAATAGCAGGAGCTTGGGCAGGGGCCAAGACAGTGGAGGAAGCAAGGTTGGAGTTGCCCTCTTGGGCCCGGCGTTCGTCTGCAACTGCATGCTGAGTGTTGTGGCTCATCTCGCTAGTGGTGGCATGTTGTCGTCTGGTTATCTCGTTGTTCAGCTTGATTCCTCTTTGCTGCCATATAGCAGCGCGGTCTGCAGCTCCTGTTGCAGCAGAGGCTTCCTCGCGCGATCCTACAATGCATTCCTGAAGACTTGCATTCATGACGCGCTCCACAAAGGCAGTGCGCGTGTGTGAGTCCATGGCTTTTATCTAGGACAAATATTGGTTAGATTGAAAGTAGAAATTTGAGGGCGCGGCAGGAAGTGCACACCTTTGTTAGGTCCCAGGGTGTTGGCAGAGGTGGGATTGTGAAAAGTGTGAGGTTTGGAGTTTGGAGACGGAAGTAGGAAGAGAGGAAATAGAAGTGTGGAGATTCGACGTTTTATAAACCCTGGGGAGAAGGTGAAGAGAAGCTGGGATTCGTTCAGCAGGTGCGAGACTGGAGGCAAATTTGGGCAGGAGGTAGAGGCTCTCAAGTGAAAGGATCACTGAGCTGTTACTAGGGAACCTGTCTTCAGATCCTCGGCTTGAGTATTCGGAGTACCCTTCCCCTGCTCCCACCGAGATGAGTAAATTGCAGCATTCCATTATCTATTGATCTCGACAGCGATGGCCTTCTGCTAGGGTTATGCGTGCCCTGCTTCTGTTTCGACATCGCAAAGATATTGACAAAACAGCAACTAGCCGAATCATCGGGTAACTCTAATACAGGGCCCGACTTCGTCCGATTTAACAATCCATGTCGAATGCACTGCTTAGTACACCCGGCCTATAGTACGAGTTGAACTAAAAAAGAAAGCGCATATACTCCTAAATTCTACTTCATATTCAGAATGGGATGCATTCATTAGAAATACGGACATGAGACATGGAGGAAGGGTCCTGAGCTCTGTCTATATTAGCGATCTGGTGAAATAAAGATGCAGAAATGCCATGAAACGACATAAGAATAGAACTAAACGGCTCCTAGATGATGCCAAGAAGCCAAATCGAAGGTATTCTCGTAAGTACACCTAGGGTCACGGCCAAGGATAATGTCAAAAGTTTGAGTAAGTGTGATTTGTGATACCTTCATGCCGCAGAAGTAGGCACATTCTGGTCTTCAGGCGGTCATGGCAGTCAACGTATGATTAAACACACTGGACACACGTCTGCAGTCGTGTTCTACCAGCCCAACGAGTGAATGAAGAGGAATGATTATAATGAAGAGGAATGATTATAATGAAGCCATAGGTGTGATGCCAAACCTGCAGTAGCTTAGTGCTTTCCGTTGTGGCATTAGGGTTATGATGAAGAGGAAGCATGGTTGGAATCTAGTGGTGAGGTTTGGTACTCCTGACAACATCTCAAATGAATGGAATGTCGACCAAAACCTTAGGTCACTCAGATCCTATTCATCGTTTCATCCCCACAGGCCGTGACTTCATTGTCTACACTTCTTTCAGCTATCTAAAACACTACCAGCTGCTTCATAATTACTCGGCGATAAATGGAATTGGAATGACTCACTAGACAAGGACGAAGCACACAAAGCTCCAGTAGTTTGCTAGGGATTCAAACAGGGCAGTTGCCAACAAGCATGAAAGAAGGACATTTTAGTGATTCCACTATAATGCATGATTTCGAGCGCAACGCTTCGCTTCCCACTGTATGTTTCGTTTGGTCTAAGTATCTGCCCAAGCCAATATTGATATCGCCTGCAACAGAAGCAGCAATGCAGGTAACCACATCACAGCATCACAGCTTATCCTCCTAGGACAACTAAATAGTGAACGATGGTAATCAAAATAAGAAAAGAACAGTTGTTCTAACCCATGAGCAACAATTGAAAGTTTGTATGTAGATTTTGTCATTTTGCGTACGGTTGTGTTCGCCTTTGCTTCATGCCTCCGCGAGTTTGACAGACAGGTTTCATGCTCTTAGCTTGGCAGACAAGGAGTTCATGAACTTGAACTGTAGCATATTCACGACAACTTCATCGTCATTATGAAATCGAGGTTTGCTTGCCCGCGCAGGCAGTCTCAGTTGTACCCCCACAAACACATTTAAATGAAAACTGCATCGCCCCCAATACAACAGGAAGGATGTAGTAGAAGAGATTGAGGCTTGTCTTAAAAGCTAACCTGGGTTTGCACCACAAGCCCGTAACGCGTCATCGAGATTTGAGCGACATTTTTCGTCCCAGAATGTTAGGCTCGGCTCTCAATTTTGACTCCGGAAACGTTCGTATTAGCGGAAGCTACAGATCTTGGAATACTTCTGTAGATATGGTAGAATTCAGATTGTTTATCTGCTAAAGCTGCTTGTGGGCCGACATCGAAAACTACCACATATGCTGTGACCAAACCCTTTTCTAGCGAAATCGCTACCAATACTCCCAGTATTTCTCAGTCGTCAAATTGACACGCAGCAACTTCCCTTCGTTGACCAGTTGCTCTACTCGCGAATTTAGGGAAAACTGCAGGCCGAGGCCTGGCTGGCCAAAGTACGGTGCAATCGGCCCGGCCCCAACTTCGAAGTCTATCGCGACTTTGTACACATAATAATTGTACGGATGACTTTGGTCATACGTGATCAAATTATCAGGCGGCAAACTTCGCATCGCATACGGCGTGCCCGCAGGAGCTAGATATGTGCCACGCTCACTGCCGAACCTGTCGACGTAGGTTCCCGTCTCCAGTGTGTACGTGTGATTGGCGATCGCGCCCGGTGTGTCATAAGTGAAGCCAGAGTCCTTTGGGTACTCATACTTTGCTAAGGAGGTGTCGTTCGGACGATTCGTGTACTTTTTGAGGAAATGCTGAGGGCAAAGTCCACCCAAATATCGATACGTGGTGAGGAGGTCTTTTACCGGGCCTTCTGTGGGCATCACAACGGGTCCGAGACGCTTGTCGCCACATACATAAGCCGAAGAATCTGAACCGTCGGTGCCGTTAGAGGTTCCAGCGCAATAGTCGGGGCAGTGGTCAAAGTCGGGTTCGATCTGTTCCGCAGAATATTAGTCGACAGAAAACAATGTTCTGATATCAAAAGAGGCCCTTACGTCTCGCCTTCGAATAATCGGAGAGCCCAGGACAACGATTGTGCCGAGAAACAGCGAGGATAAAGCAGCAAGATGCATTTTGGATTTGGTTCGGGTCTTGACTTGGCCCACACGGTATCGAAAAGGAGCGAGGCCGTGGACAATTGGGCTCCTCTTTATAATCAAGGTATGTGAGCCTGGGCACGCGTTAAATCTAACGCAAGATATTCGGAAAGCTCGCCAAATCATTCATATTTCCCGAAGCCGTCGTCCTGTCAACTTCAGCCAGCCGCTTCCCCACACCGGAAGCAGTTCACCGCTCCCAGCGGGTGCCACGGTAACGCGCATGTGTGTGCATTCGTATTCTGATATACTGTCTTACAACACATTGTTCGCATTAGAGTCCAGCAAGCAGATTGCCTCCAAATACCCTGAGACATGCTTCTTTAGCGGCCCGCTCCTCAACCGCAACGTCTAGCGTCCCTGTAGGGATGTGACTGTGGCGGTCTTGTTAGCTTCCTATTCGTTCGTTTCCCTGCGAGTTACGTTTTCAGGACCTCCACAGACCTCGGGCCTAGCTGAGGGTCTTGAAACTGTCTTCACTGCCGAATGGGTGCTCCCGACCGAGTCCTCTTGGCTTTCCCACGCGAGAGCTAGAAGGAGCATGTCTCAGGTTTCTAGCATGAAATCAGACCATTTCAAAAACAGTCTTTGTAGGGCCGAGTTTTCCCCGCACGATTTCCGCCGTTCAATATCAAAGTATGGATGTTGACATGTCCTCCACATCTTCCTACACCGCCAAAGCTCGGCTCTTAGCTTTCAGCAGATGTTGATATCCTGGTCTTCTTGTATCATAATTCTGTTTTACGGGCCTTACATGAAATCGTTGGGCTGCCAGAACGCCTCTTGGAACGCTTAGCGAACGGATGGTGAGCGATTTGATCATGATAGGCAATGGAGAGATTCGAAGGAGTATCCATGGATGGTGGAAGCTCTGAAGTAACCATTGAAAGTTCAAAGTAGCCAAGAACCAAGATCTGGGGAGGGAGACATCTCCACTTCTAGCAGACGAGTCTTGGTCTTGGTTTCCACAGCGGGAATGCAAGCTCCTGAAATGATTGCGACCTAGAAAACTTTCGGTTGATGTCGGGCAAGCATTGTTACATAGCATGTTAGATGAGATTATTCCCGAGACTCACGATCGTGATACTCAAACGTCCCTCGCCGTCGAGTCCCTGGTCAGTGACCCCTGCACGAAAGGCTTGGCGGAAAGATCTGACTTCCCGGTCGATCATTCGCGGGTTCTGGGTCAGCCAAGTGAGAACGAGGCGCTGTAGCGTCAGAACACCCAAATAGTTCTCAAAACACCATGTTCGGAATGTCGCGATTTCCAAGGCATGATTTCTGTGATGATTAGCATCTTGGCATTGTCCATGTTGTGGAGGACTCGGTCGGTTCTGATAATGAAATCGGGATTAGAGCCCGGCTGCCTCGCTGCGACCTTCCTCATTCTTCGATCACCCGTCCAGGGGTCCCACCGAACACGACATGATGCCATGTCGCTCTCCGAGTACCCGTCAGGGTCATATTGCAGTCAAAAAGGCAATAAACCGCGAAAGAAAAGTTAGGAGGGCAGAAGGAAGACCGCCATCATCTTAAAAAACCGAATCTCGCTCCTGTGAGATCTCTGTGTTCCCCAAGGTGTCACAAGTTCACTTCCCGCCCGTGAAGAACGATTCGAGATGAGGTCCTTGGCCATCACCGGCGCCGTCTGGGTCGCGTTGGGCGCATGCTCGCTGCAAGAGCGCCAAGACGACAAGCCCCTCGTCGACTCGGCCAGCTTCCAAGCAGCAATCACCAGAGAGAGGTACGAGCCACTCCCGTCGACGATTTATGCATATCGCAGCTGACGCATCCCGCAGCTTGGAAGCCAACCTCGTCTCCCTGAGCGACATCGCCACAGCCAACGACGGGAACCGCGCCTTCGGCCTCCCAGGCTACGCCGCCTCCGTCGACTACGTCTACGACCGCATCTCCAGCGTCGCCGGCGCCAAAGTCTGGAAGCAAGACTTCTCCGCCGTCTTCAGCAGCGAGATCAGGGCCAACCTGACCGTCAACGGCGAGGCCCTCGCCGCGTACGGGCTCACGCTGTCGCCCGCGACGCCCGCCGAGGGCGTCACGGGTCAGCTCGTCCTCGGACCAGAGGGTTCAAACGCCTGCAACGCGTCCTCGTACGACGGCCGCGATGTGGCCGGTAAGATCGTCCTGGTCCGCGAGACGCTGTGCGACGGGTACAGCCGCAGCTCGCAGTACGCCGGGATCATGAAGCCGGCTGCCGCGGCCGGTGCGAGCGCTGTGATTGCGATTCCGGATTTCCAGTTCAATTTGACGGCGGGTTCGCTTGGGGTGGCTGATGACGGGACGTTCATTCCTAGCGGGTTTGTCAATAAGTATATTGGAGACCCGCTGGAGACGCGTCTGCTCGCTGGAGAGGTTTTGACGGCGACGTTCTGGGAAGATGAGTACGTCGATCGTCGGGTGACGCAGAACGTCTTTGCCGAGACAGAAGGCGGAGATTCCGAGAATGTGATTGTTGTGAGTTTGCTTGCCTCTTGGAAGTTGACGCGTTGCTAAATGATGCCTAGCTTGGTGCTCATCTCGACAGCGTTGGTTGGGGTCCAGGTATCAACGACAATGGTGAGTGTCAACTTATTCACGTGTGTAGCCATGAGAACGACTGGACTAACTTCAGCAGGATCTGGCGTATCACTCCTTCTGGAGCTCTTCCTAGCCCTCACCAAGTACTCCGTGAACAACAAGATCAGATTCGCGTGGTGGGGTGCGGAGGAGAAGGGCCTCATCGGCTCGCGCTACTACGTCAACAACCTCACCGCCGCCGAGGCGGGTAATATCCTAGCGTATCTCAACTTCGATATGGTGTCCAAGGGTTACTACGGAGTCTTCGACGGCGACGGTGCCGCCTACGGCGTCCCCGCACCGGCCGGCTCAGACGTGATTCAGGAGCTGTTCACTGCCGACTTCGTCTCTAAGGGTATCGACGTGACAGCGGCGCGCTTCACCAACGGCAGTGACTACGCGTCGTTCTGGCAGGTGTTGAACAAGCCCATCGGAGGTCTTCACACGGGGACAGGTTCTGCCCAGGATCCCTGCTATCATCAAGCGTGCGACAACATCAACAACCCGGACCTGGACCAGCTGACGGTGAACGCAAAGGTAAGGCTCTGGATCCTCCCAACTGTGTTTCATAGCTAACCTGATCCACAGACCACCGCTCATGTGCTCTCAACTCTTGCTCTGGATGGTACCAATCTCATCAAGAAGCTGACAGGTCGTAACCTTTTCGAGCGTTCAGAAAGTCAGAAGCGAGAAATAGCAACCGTTGAGGAGTCTGACGATGAGCACCACCATTGTTGAGGCTTTAAAATTTCGATGGCTTGAAGAAAATGCCGTCTGATATGGGTGATTGACACGCCTTCTTGGTATTGAATTACTAGATTACATTTAATTGTGAGAGAAGCCGAGCTCATAGAAATGATGGAATGATATCTCTAGAGTCCTGTGATTCCGCTTTCTTCACGGGAGCTCGCCGTGACGGCCTTGCCCTTGCAGTGCGATTCTTGAAGCGTGTGAATAGGTCGTCGTCATCTTCGTCATCGCCGTCATCGATAGCAGGCGTCGTCGTTGCAGTCGTGCTGTTTGACGAGGAGCTGCTCATTGGTCTTGCCGTCGGTGATGTATGCTTCGCAGCTCCAAGCCGTGGCGTTCTTGCCCTTGCAGTGCGATTCTTGTGGCGCGTGAATATATCGTCTTCGTCGTCACCATCATCGGCAGCTGGTGTTGCGGTTCCAGTTGTGCTATTCGATGAGGAGCTGCTTGTTGGTCTTGTCGCCGGTCTTTCTTTAGATACTCGGGAAGCATGCCTCGCGGCTCCCAGCGAAGCAGCGGCTCCCGCTCCCTTTGCTGTGGACCGCGCCGGATCCTTTGGCAAAGGCCTCGATACCTGCGCTGGCCTCACGGATTCTCGCCTCGTTGGAGCCTTCACCGGCCCGCCAAGATCGTCGCTCTCGGACTCCGTTTCTTCTTCCAGAGCTTCTCTCCTGCTCATGGGCGCAGACCTTCTCTGGGACTTGATCACCCCTCCAAACAAGCTCGTCTTCGTTCCCGAGTCCGCCTTCGTAAGCGTTGTGAGCGGCACCTCCTTCTTCTGCGGGCTGTCCATCAAGCCCTGTAGCGAGGTGCCGTGCCACGGCATGCTCGTCTCGTCACCGCTCTCATCGTCGACGCCGGCCTGTTTCTTCGCCTTGCGGAGCGCCTCGCGCTGCTTCTTCTTACGGAGCAGCTCCTCCTGACGTCTCCTCGCGATCTCTGTAAGGGATCCAACGACGGGACGGGAGATGTTCTTGATTGTCTCCGCGTTCTGAGATTTCGTCTGCGTTTTGAGGCGTTGGTACTCCGCTGCGTGGAGATGCGCTGTGAACTGGCCGGCGACGGTGAAGAGTTCGTCCTCGACCATGCGATACTTGTCGTCATTTTCTAGGCCTTCGATCATGAAGCTGCGAGAGCATTAGTGCTGCACGGGCGTGTTTGTTAGGCAGAGAGCTCACATTTCCGGGATAGGCTGCGGTGGTGGCGAAGTTGAAGCACTTCGATCTGCAACGTGTGGGTGAGCGTCCGCGCAGCTGCCATGAGTGATGAGCACCTACCTCTGAGGAGGCCATTTAACCGTGACGATTGTTGCTTTGAGTTGCGCGACGTTGGTGTCGCCTTCTGCTTTGGCGTGGCGCGTCGCGGCGTCGCTGCTGAACGAGATGTCGGCGGCTTGGTGGCGGCTTTCGCGGGTGTTCGTACTGGGTCGACGTCGTCGCGCGCCCAGGGCAGTCGTCGTGTCATGTTTGGGGGGGTTGTAGTCGCGTGCGATATAGAGATTGATCAACGCTGATCCCGATGAATGACATGTTATGAGTTTTGAGGGCGAGATTTCTATTTGCGACGCGCGGGTTCTCGAAGATTTCGCGGGTTCAGCGTCTCAAGGTAGATGCTTCGTGAACGGTTTCGGTGAGATTAGGTAGCCGTCCGGGTGGTCCAATGCTGTGTGAGCACTGCACTAACAATTTCGCAGGGGAAGAGCGACCCCACTTGCTGCAAATTCTCGTTAGCCGCTTCATGTCACAGAAGGTGCACAGGCAAGACCATGTGTGTCGACAAATAAAATTACCCTGTCTGGTATATGACCTTTTAATCGCTATAAACATGACTTTTTGTCTATAAACCTCCCCCAGCCCAATATGCACCCATGCACAAAAGACAACTCAACCAAGGTTGAACTCGCTGGCCGCGTTCATGACCATCCTCATCTTCGCCTTCATCTTTCTCTCCATCTCGCTTGGCTCCTCGCCTCCACCAGTGTTGATATCCTCCATGGGGTTACCTGACGACTTCTTCTCGCCACGTCTGCCAGCAGCCTTCTGTTTCATGACAGTCTTCTTGCCGCTATGGTCGCCGCGACCGACACCAGACGGCGCCTCACGCAGACCGTAGGCCTTCGCCATGTGACCCAGATGCAGCTCCGTGATGTCGAAGAAAACGCGCTCCTCCTTGACGTGGGTAGCGTATGCCCTGATGTGAGAGCGGAACGCCTTACGAGACTCGTCGAGAAGAGTCTTGCTCGACTGCAGGAGAAGGCGCTGCTCGAGGTGGAGTTGGAGGTTCTCGGCACGAGCGTTGAAGCTCTTGTCGGTTGCGGGCAGGGGCTTAGCATCGGTCTCGACGGGGAACTCCATTGGTGTTGTAAGGCCGCGCTGCAGAACGGTATCGTAAAGCTCGGGCTTAGGAGGGGTGGCGTTCTTGGCCTTGAGATGCTCAATGTAGCCTTCTTCGCAGCCAGGCATCAAGAACAGGACGGCCTTTCCGGGGCGACCGGCACGAGCGGTACGACCGATGCGATGAACGTGGTCGGCGGCGGCGAAAGCAGGGTCGTATTCGACGACAAGTTCGACGGAGGGCACATCGAGACCACGGGAAGCGATGTCGGTGGTGATGAGGACGGTTGGGTCTTTGCAGCTGCTGTAGGACGCGAGCGTGGCCGTTCGGACGGGTTGGGGAAGGGAGCCGTGTAGCCTGTGAAGGACGATGTTGGTGTTGGCTGGTGACGTGATGTATCCGGCTGGGGCGACGGTGTTTGACGTTCCTGAGGGATTGGCCGAGGATTTCTCATCCTCGGATTGTGGTTTGCGGAGGAGATCGAAGTGGTAGTCGACGGAGTCGGCACAAGATAAGAAGACGATGGCCTTCATCACCGAACCCTTGCGTGAGAATGTTGACTTGAGGAGCGAGATGAGGGTGACGAGTCGCAACTTGGCAGGGACGATAACGTAGTTCTGCTTCAGCTGGGCGGGCGCCTCAAACTTGACCTCCTCAGCGTCATCCTGGTCCTCTTCAGATGTCGTGACGTGTACGGCATCCTCCAAACTGATCTCGCCAAGCTTCTGGACGTTCATCTTCATGGTAGCGGAACACAGAATGGTGACACGGCGCTTCGGCAGACCAGCGAGAGAGACACCATTTGCCGTCGTGTCTGAGAGACCGCCCTCACGAATCTTGCCAACAATGGTACGCAGCTCCGCCTCGAAACCCATCTCCATCAGACGATCACCTTCATCGAGGACCAACCATCTGACAGTCCCGACATCGAGACTCTTGGTGTTGTTGAGATGGTCGCTCAGACGACCGGGTGTGGCGATGAGAATGTTGACGCCTTTCCTCAGACGGCTCTTCTCAGAGTGCTTGCTTTCACCACCGATGACGGTCGTGCTGACTAGATAAGGTGGAAGAATCTTGGCGAGGACAACATCAATCTGCCGGCAAAGTTCGCGTGTCGGCGCCAAAACGATGGCAAAGAGGCCGGAGTCTCTCTTGATCTGACCCTCGACTGATAAGATCCGTTGGAGGATGGGAAGCAGGTAAGCCAGAGTCTTTCCGGAACCTGTTTGCGCCTGCACAAACGCATCGCTGTCTTCTGTGATGAGTTGCGGGATGACCTTGGCCTGGATAGCTGTCGGGGCCTTCAGCTGAATCTTGTCCGACAGAGTCAGTGCGAGACGTCGTGAGATGCCGAGGGCGTGGAAACTGGCAGCTTCGGCGGACAACGCCGCGTTTGACGGTTCTCTCACAACTTCCTCAGCCTTCTCTTCGTTCGGGTCGTCAAACACAGTCTTCGGTGTCGGGTTGAATGAGAAAAGTCTTGAAGTAACCTGGCCGTCCCTCGGCCTGCCGCTGGAGATGCTGCCTGGCGGCAGCTTGCCGGTCTGGTAGGAGCTTGGCCTCGAAGGGTCGGCTCTTGGTCGCTTCGCCGGGCGCTCGTGAAAGCCGTCGTCATTGTCGGCTCTGTGAGACTTCCTGTTTCCGGGCGTCCATCTTTGGGTCGGCGGGGCGTCTGAAGATGGTGATGAAGGACGTTTGTCGCCGCCCCTGTTCGCAATCCTCTGCGCCTTCACTCTGTCACGCCATCGTCCTCCCTGGATCTTGACGTGGGACTTGATGGGACCCGTCCCCAGGTCAAAGTTCATAATCATGCCATCGTCCGCCATTTTTGCTGATGAAATGCCGTCGGTCGCAGCGATGATGAAAGGTCATTGAGGCGAAGTCGAAAAATAAAATTTCAGAAGCAGAGCCTTATCGCGATCGGCGTTTAGATAATGGCTCCACTCTTAGGCGTCGACCCGCATGGCGCTTGGGCCCACACCATCCCGGTTTCCTGTCACAGTGGCGTGTGCCCGGTGCTGTGCATCGACAACACTGAACTACTACTACCTAGATGATAAGAGGCCGGCCCTTGGGTTTCCTCATCAATAACATCGAAACAGCATCATTTCAATTCCCCTTGAATGCCGAGATTCTCCAATTCATCCGAACTCAATCTATTGCAATGACGTTCATCCGGTGGTCCGTAAGGCAGGCCTCTCTCGCCATTAGACTTGCAGGCGCACTTGTTTCCCCACGATAGTCGAGAAAAGGTCATTCTCCATGTCTTCTTTAAAACCACAAAATTGTTTACGCCTTGTGTTTTTTTTCCTGACTTTTGAGTAATATCTAAGTAAATCACTGAGCCTCCTAATCGCGCCACACTCTCAAAAGACATACGCAAGGTGCGCCTTCAAGGTCTCGCCCTGGTTGCAACCCTTCTCTGCCTTTTCCCCCTTCCTGCTGATTTCTTTCCCTAGTCAAATACTTGCCAATACTTCAACGACAACACGGACTGCTCTGCCGACGATACGGATGATGCTACGCTGCAGCTGTTTCTCCAATTGCAGCAGGCCGACCTCAAAGAGCTTCGACATGAGGCCAGAGGCTGTAATAACTAGGATGGGTTCCTTCTGGACGCAGATCTTGCCTTTGAGATGTACCAGGAGGAGCTGTATTTTCTCGAGACCTTTGCAATTGACAGACAACTGAGTCAACGCTTCAACGAAGAGGAGGACACCGACGAAGAGGACACCGACGAAGAGGACGCCGACGAAGAAGAGGACGCTGGTCAAGCAGAGGATAAAATTGCAGAGACTGAGAACCGGCATGATGATGTTGGCGCGGAATTTCCGACCCCTCGTAGGTGGTGGGAGACTCTTATGCACACGGGATTTGCCAGATGGCGGTCTGTATTCATTCCTTCGAGCAATATCAACGGGGACGTCGGTCATTGTCCAATATACTAGTATAGCACTTGTACTCTTTGTAAAGGCCTAGCGCACCCCAACCACGCCTGCGAGCAAGACCAGGTAACCCACGAAGTCCTTCGTATCGCTGCCGAGAACAACTGGCAGAGATGTCCCCACTTCCAAGTTATTATCGAGCTGAATCAAGGATGCTACCACATCAGTAAGGTAACCATCGGATAATATCCAACTCAAGATTCGCTAACAAAACCTCACTAGCCTGCCGTTGCCACAACTAGTTCTGCTACCTATACCTCGTAGAGTGGAAGACATGCCGCATGCGATTGCGACCAGTGGGATGAAGAGGACCTGCTCGATGCCTATGAACAGAACTACAACGCCTATGAAGAGAACTACAACGCCAGGGCAGAGATCTACAACGCCGCACGTGGTGGCATACAATGAAGCCCTGAAACACTTGTGTAGGATTCGTACATTATCTTCATTCAATCATTTGTATCACGGGTCTCGAAAAGTAATGCTATATCTCAGAGACATCACCAAAGTCTTCTTAAACAGGCCAGGTTACTTCACCGGCGGAGCTTACGCATCAAGAAACATCATTTATGATTGGAAGTATTCGTCATGAATTCTGCTAGCCGGGCAGTGTCCACTACATAAGCAGTATACAATCCATATGTCCTATATCTATGCCAAAACGACTATCCTCGCTGTTGTTATCATTTTTATTATCACATTACTATTATTACTGTCGTCGTCGTCCATCGTTATTCCTATCTACCTCTACTGTAGTCCTTATTAGAGTATAGGTACACTACGATATATTTATGGGGAGGGACACTGCCCGGCTACCAAAACTCTTTGTAATATTCTCGGGCTGTCCTTGACGAACTTCAGGTGCTGTCGGCGAGTTGTCTGTTGCCCTCAAAACCGGCCGTCTTGCACCATTCCACTCAGGCCATTTGAGACCCCTGATTCCTTCGTCTAGAGGCCTCTACAAACTCTCACATGCTCAAGTGGCTGTCGCAGACCGACGGTAGCATTTCCGCCAAAATACTATTGCAACCTATTCACCATCAGTTTGTTCGGCCAAAATGTTATCGTTACCCCCATCCCCGGGCCCCGGTGAAGTTCAGACGAGGTTAATCAGGCGTTTCTCACTGGCTCAGTCAGTCGTCAAGACAACTTTTCTTCTCCTAAGGCGTGTCTGGGTTTCCCCGCCATATACCTTGTTCAGGTATGCCTCGACGTACTCTGGAAAGTTCCGACTTGGTCGCGTCATCTGAAAGCAACCAAAGACCGAAGGTTTCTGTGATTTGGGTTGGAGTGAATGATGCAATCGTGCCTTCGCCAGGGGTGTGCCTGGAAGCCTGCGCATCGGCTGGCTCCTATTCCCACATGTAATTCGTCCACTCCAACGCAGGAGGCCGTCTACATCTGGAAGTCAAAGACCAAGCCGTCGGCAACCCAACAGAAAAGCATCGAGCTTCAGATGTCCGCACCGGAGGATTTATTATTTTATTTCAGCTGCCCCCGCCTTCGCTTTCACCTGAATTACACTGTTATGCTCGGCTACGTTCTTGTGAACAGGCCCAGGCTCCCCAGCTGCATTAAGTCACCTCCATCTTGCACTCAACTTCCAACTCCAATACTTCCTTGCTTAAGTGGATTCTGTCTGCATTTCTTCTTGAGACCCATGAGCTTTCCCCGGCAGTAGAGGTCCATTTCACAGTTTCGATCTGAAACGACATCTCATCCGTCTCCTGTCGGGACTCGAATGGCCTTTGATGAATCCTACTCCCATCCACCTCGAACCCTCACTAATCAGCTCTACTCATCTCATCTCATTGGGTCAAGATGCTTTGCCACGACATCGACGAGGAGACCCTGCACCTGGTCATCCAGATGCAGCTCGAAGATCTAGAACATATGAAGAATTGCAGAAAGGGCAAGCAGAAAGAAGGTAGTCTTCCTGACTCGGATTTCGCCTTCAAAACCTACCAGTCTGAGCTCAAGACATGTGAGCAACGAGTATCGGACAGGACCATGAGCCAGAGCATCCAAAAGGCCACCCGTACAGATGGTAAACTTGTGACAGTGTTCGCTGCACAGGAGAGGCAAGCTGAGCGCGACAGAGAGATGGCACTCCGCCTTAGCCGCGGCGAGACAGTCAACCAGAACTCCTTTCAGACTTCTACTAATTCAAAGACAACTTCCCCAGACCAAGACGAGTCCGACTCAGACGCCGACATGCTTCGCAAGCTTCAGCAGCTCTACGTATCTGCAGACGCCGACGATGACGATACTCTGGACCAGCCAGAGTCGTCCTCCTGGGCAGCTTCTCGAAGCGACATGAATGGCACCGCGAAGCCCGTCGAGGTAGCGAAGGAACCTTGCATCAGCTGTCAGGACAGGTTCTCCGTCACTAACCTTTCCCACTGTCCTTGTAGCCACCTCTACTGCCATGACTGCCTCCGAAATTTGTTTGAAGCATGCCTCACAGACGAATCTCTATTCCCGGCACGTTGTTGCGGCCAACGAATCCCGGTTGACGACCAACGCCCCGTCCTCGGCTCTAAGCTCGTGGGCCAGTTCCGTGCCAAGGAGGTCGAGTTCTCAACCTTAAACCGCACGTACTGCCACCAACCCACTTGTTCTACCTTCGTACCCGTGGAGTTTATCAAGAACGACGTCGCGACGTGCCCACAATGCTACTACAGAACATGTACTATGTGTAAGGGCGCAGAACACCGGGGCGATGAGTGTGGCCAGGACACCGCGACCCAGATCATCCTACAGTTGGCGGCCGAGAACGGATGGCAGCGGTGCTTCTCCTGCCGGCGCGTCGTGGAGCTCGAGCATGGCTGCAACCACATGAGTGAGTCAGTCGCGTTCAAAGATACCGTTGTAACTAAGTTATGGATGAGCCTGTCGTTGCGGCGCCCAGTTCTGCTACATATGCGGCATGAAATGGAAGACATGTTCTTGCGCGCAGTGGAACGAGGAGCGGTTATTGGCCCGCGCCAATGTGAACGTCGATCGAATCCCCGGCGCTCGACAGTTTGATGCTCAGAGGAGAGCGCAACTAGTTGAAAGGCAGGCGCAGAACTTGGTTGAGAACCATGAGTGTGCGCATGGGGCCTGGAGATCTCGCGGTGGTTTCTTCACTTGTGAGGAATGCTACGACACTCTGTTTCATTACATCTACGAATGCAAGCGATGCCATATCCGTGCTTGTCGGAGATGCAGGTTCAACCGTCTTTAACAGGGCAAACTTCCAACCCGCGTTCATCATCTCCAAGAATCTCGATGTCGGAGCGGAGCTCGAACAATACAGGGCTATGTTTACTCTGCAGACCGGTTATCCACACCGCTGGAGTAAGGAGACGAGCCAGAAGACCACGTTGGCTGCACTTATCCTGCTATAGGGCGTGATGAGGGGAAGGATAGTCGGCAAACTGACTTGAATAATCTGGGGACAAAAAGGAACATCGTGCAAGTAAACGGAGAGTGAAACCATAAATTTAATAACAAAGTTTGGAGGACACGCAAGGGGTCTTTCAGATGCGAGTAATGTCGTGCCTCACTTCGTTCATGAATGTGACCGATGTCGCATCCAAGCTTGCCGAGAATGTCGGTATCACCAGTTACAACTAGAGGATGACTCAGACAGCGACAGCGGTGACTCTGGTTGGTAGCGTTTGTTGTATATAATCTTGTCCTTGGGGTTCACAGAATCTCAAATGTTGTAGGTGATCATCTGTCTGGCTGTCAGGCTGTTTTAGAACCAATACGAAGTGAAGTCCCACACGAGAACTTACTTGATAGATCAAGATGTAAATGATTGATACGTAAGAGACCGCCTAGTTTTCTTGTGCTAGATCGAATCCTTCTTTCCTTCTAAGTTTTCCTTCGCAATTTGCCGCCTGGAAGCCTGCTTTTCCTTTGGTTTTATATGTAGTCCATCTTAAATCAAGGCACTATGGTCATCGTCTGCCATCGTCTACCATCGTCGTGCATCGTTGTTGTCTGTCGTCGTCCTCCCTATCTTTGTCTCTCCTCCACTACTGTCATCCTCATCGAGGTCACCACGCTCCTTCCTTCCATACCGCGTCGAGTGGATGCTCCTTCCTCGCTGTCCGAACCTCTCCAGATGTTTTCTCCTTCAGGCTAGCGCACTTCACCTCGAATTGCAATTTTGTCTCTGCTCTTTCTCGTCTTTTCATTTCTTTTCCTTTCTGCATCGTCGCAGCTGCTTTTGCGATCAACCACCTCTTCGCATTTCGACGATCACAGCCGTACCAGCTTTTACCCTTCCTGACTTGCAATCTTTCTGTGAGAAAGTAAGTTTTATCTTGAATTTTTCTTGTAATTTTGCTTCTTCTCCATTGGCGACTTCTTAGCTATCAAATGTGAAGGCCTTCCCGGGAGTTCCTTCAACGTTCTCCAAGTGCCTCGGCGCAAAACTGACCGTCGCATAGGAAGTAACGGCTATCCTTGCCAAAATTTACAACTTCATCTACATGTAGCAGAGATTTCTCAGCACCAAACGACATCATGTCTGCCTTTGTCGATGGCATGGACGAAGCGACGCTGCAGCTGGTTGTCCAGATGCAACAATAACACATCAGAGAAATGCAGGACCAGCGCAAGGGCAAAGCTAAAGAAATCGATCGGTCTGACGCAGACGTGGCTTTGGACACGTATCAGGCCGAGCTTTTGTCCTTCCAGACCTTCGCCGCGGACCGAGCCATGAGCAGATGTATCGCTCACCAGGAAGGCACCCACCCAGCTCTGACACAGCAGACTGTACCAGACCCAAGCAATCCAATTACTTCGCAGCCAGCTGAGAGTTCTGGTCCCGAGGAGATTGTCGCGGAAAAGATCGTCACGGAGGAGACCATCGCCGCAGATGCTGTCCTTACAGTCTGCAACAACGACATTCACGACAATGATTCTATCGCTGACATGCCCGAGTCGTCCTCCTGGGGTGCATCCAGAGAAAGTTCAAAGCGCACAAGTTCAAGAAGACCAAACCAGCCAGAGACCCGGTCTTGTATTTCCTGCACCAAGGAGTATGACCTGAGCGACTCTTGCCTCGCTCCATGTGACCAGCTTTACTGCGCGACGTGTTTGCAGAAACTGTTCCAACTTTCTCTGGTAGATGAGAGTCTTTTCCCGCCCCGGTGCTGCCGAAAACCCATCCCCATGAATCAAGTACAGCACGTCATACCCAAGCAGCTGATGTAAGAATTCATCACCAAGGAGATCGAGTTTTCGACGGTCAACAGAACCTACTGTCACCAGCCTCAGTGCTCGGGGTTCATACCTCCTACCAGCATCGAAGGAGACATCGGCACCTGTCCTGCCTGTCAAGCAAAGACGTGCGTGTTGTGCAAGAGTATGGAGCACGACCACGCCGACGCATGCAAGGAAGATACAGCGACGCAAGAAGTTCTGAAGCTAGCTGCTGACAAGAAGTGGCCAAGATGCAACAAATGCCACGCGATTGTTGAACTGGACACGGGCTGCTATCATATGAGTGAGTTCTCCGAGGATGCATGCACGTCCCAGGCCCCCGTTAACGCCTGTCAGCTTGCCGCTGCGGAGGACAGTTCTGCTATCTCTGCGAAGCACCCTGGAAGACCTGCAATTGCCGCCAATGGGACGAGCCCAGGGCGCGAGTCAACAGAGCGCCGAACGCCCGGAACATGACTGCTCAGCAGCGCGCTGCTGCTTTGACTCGAGCCCGGCGAAATGCCATACGGAACCATGCATGCGAACATAACGGCCGTTGGACCAAGTTATATGGCGAGTTTACTTGTGAGGGGTGCAGTGACAGGCTGAGCGAGTTCATCTTTCAGTGCAATGATTGTCATCTGCAGTCTTGTGCGAGATGCAGATTCAAACGATTCAACTGAAGAAAAGGGAGAGTCCTGCTGGCATCGTGTGAGATTACGGGGATTCAAAGAGACGACTAGCATACGGTAGGGCCGTTGGAGAGCAGTCATCCATCTTGGACGCTTGAGTAATTAGCAAATACCTCCCTCATCTTGGGAGCCTAAGTAGCTAGCAAATGACAAAGTCTCATCTTGTAAGCACTCCGAGAAAGGAGCGATCGCGTCATTGACATATCGTGGCAGAGGTAGCCAGGGGCTGAATAACTCAGTCATTCTCCTGTGCTAGAGCGATCACTTTTCCTATGGGCTTATGTATAATCTTTGCCGCTAGTATTATCGTCGTCGTCGTCCATCTTCAACGCCTGTTATTACTGTCTATCGTCGTCTCTAGTTATTGCCATCCATAGTCGTCCCTGCCTGTATTCTTACTATTCTGGTATCGTCCTCAGTTAGAACAGCCTAGTACACGCGAAACGTAGTCGATCAAGCATAGGAGAAATGAAAAGTCTCCAAGGACATACATACATATCATGAGATCAGCGAAAAAAAAAAAAAAAAAAAAAAAAAAAAAGGGAAGGAAAAAAAGAAAACCAAAAGAAGATGCGGCCAGTGTGGATTGAACACACGACCTTCAGATTAAGTGATTGAAGTTAACTTCAGTCTGACGCTCTCCCAACTGAGCTATGTCCGCCGCATTTGATTGGTGAGTAAGTATAGTCTAAGCTAGCCTAGGTAGCATGATCGTGTGGAGCACCCACGCAGATCGCGACCATATCCCTCACCCGTTCATCCACACCAAGCCAGTTTTGCTCGTCGAAATCTCACGCTCAATTGTCGTTGCTATGTTCTAAACTTGCCGTTTTCTTTTTGAACTCCCTTCGATTGCTCCACCCCCTTCAAGAAAATCGCTTCACAAAAGCCACCCAGCATAAACCCCCAGCTCCTCCCTCCTCGCACCCTCCATCTCCCCCAAAACGCCCAACAACTTCACCCTAGCCCCCTTCTCCCGGCTCCACCCCTCCAGGAACTTCTCAACCCTCTTCCTCGTCTCCTCATCGTCCCTCATCACCAGTGCCAGCGCGTCAAACCCGCCTGCGCCAGGCACCACGCCCCCAAGCACGCCCTCCACCCCGCTCACCGCGTCCAGCAGCTCCGTCTGGCTCGGCGGCTCAATCGGCACCCCGCTGCCCTCGCCCATCTTCCTAATCAGCCCCCTCACCTTGCCGACCGCCGCGCCAACCTCCTCGGTCCGCCCATCCTTCAGCACCGCCGCCAGCGCCTCGTTGCGGCCCTGCAGCTCGTCCCACAGCGCCTTGCTCCCCTCCGCGTCCTCCTTGCGCCACGCGAGCACCTTCTTCACCATGCCCACCGTCTGGCTGCCGCAGTCCACGTCGCACATGCGCAGACACAACCCCGGCGCCAGGCTGACGCTCTTGTCGACCTCGACGTCCCACCCCTGGAACTCGTCCACCTTGCGCACCAGCGCCTCCGCGAACCCGGGCTGCCCCGGCGCGCCGAGCCCGTCGAGCAGGGACGGCGAGAAGCGGCGGTACCGGCAGCTGCCGAAGACCGCGGCCGCGACGTCGAAGCCGCTGCCGACTTTGCCCTGCGCGGCGCAGTGCGCGGCCTGCGCGAGGTTGTGCAGCGTGTGCTTGCCGGCCTCGGAGGATAGGTTGAAGAGGTTCGTGGGCAGGTGGTGCGTGAGGAGGGCGGCGGTGAGGGAGGTCACCAGCGCGGCGGAGGAGCCCAGGCCGGTCTTGTGCGCCTCGCTGAGGGTGTGGGGGTACCGCGCGAAGCGGCCCTGCTGCTGGGCGGCGGCGCCGGGGGTGGTGTCCGGGAGGGAGTAGTAGTCGTTGTCGGCGAGGATGATGAGGCGGGTGGATGTGAGGGCGTGGTTTGGGCGGCGTTTGCGGATGCTGGCGATGTAGGTGAGGGCGTAGGAGAGGGTGGTCTCGACGAAGGGGTTGGGGTTGATTTTGGAGCCGCTGGGGGATGGTGTTAGTGACTTTTCAACTCTAGACGTGTGGGATGTCGGTGAGGTTGGTTCATCGAGGCCGTCATCTCACATGAGATCTCACATCTCGAAATGAGCGATATCAGCCCCTCACCGCAACTGCTGACCCCTCCTCACCGACAACCATCACCACTTTACTTCAACATATCAAACGTGCCGAAACTTGATCCAAGCCGAGAGGGAAGCACGTAAAGAGAAGCAACTTACACCTGCAGCTGCGTGACGGTAATCCCCCCATCCTCAGGCGCGAGATGGAACCCGTACCGCCACGTCGCGTCGAGGAATTGCGGGCTCTCGACGACAATCTCCGTCAGGTGCACGCCGGGCGACGTGTGGATCTCGGCCGCGACGACATTCACCCTCGCGCTGAGCCCGAAAACGAGGCCCGTGTACGCCCGGTCGAGGACGAGATACCCGCCCGCGAGGAGCACCTTCCCGGGCGCCGAGACGGCGGTCGCGGTCGTGTCTGCTCCGGCCGTCATTTTTTTTTCTTTTTTCTTCTTCCTTTTTTTGCGACCTTCCGTCTCTTGTTCCCCAACTGCTTAGTCCAGGTAGTCACTCTGTTGACCGGTTGTAGTCTGTGAACTGTAGCCTTAGGTTGAAGGGCGGGCCTTCTCGTGTTACCTACTCTAGCGTGAACAAAATGTCTCGGGCAAACTGAGGAACTTCGTCTTATATAAGCTATCACTTAGAGAACCCCTCTGTCCTCTACTTATTTGTGATTACCTAAGACGCGCACAGCTAGCTTACCTAAGGTATCCGTACTAGATCTACCACAGAGACGACGGACGACGGAGACGGGCGACGGAGATGAATAACGACAGGGACGACAGGGACGACAGGGACGACAGAGACGACAGAGACGGCGATAACGACGATGGTGCAGGGGCGTCTATTGTCTTTCCCGTGCTTGCTAAAGCTGTGCTGCAACCTGCGCTGCAACCTGCCGCCTTCCCGAGTTGCGTTCCTCAAAAGAAGATGAGAGAGAAGAAAGGGCAAGATCGCCAATTGGAACAATCACAGCGGGAAAACCGCAGTGTATACCTTCTGAAACTCTGGTCTGAAGTTGCAACCAGAGGAGGTCAAAGAGGGAGGGTGAGTTGATGACGCAGTCGTGATGGAACCGTAAGGCAGAAAGTTTGGGCCAGCGTTGAGGGAAAGAAAAGGGCGGACGACCTCAGGTATGCATCGTGGGGAGAAGAGACAGCGCTAAAATACAGTAGCATCCGAGTCCGCCGATTCTGCCGCCTGTGCTGTTGCTGCATGATTGGCACCTTACCGTGCCTCTGTTTGCCGCGACTGCGTTTGCCCGCCCCATAAGCTCCGGCCCCCAACGCCGAGGATGGGAGTGACCCCATCCGCCCGTCCAATTGGAGCGGGCGGCACCCCGATGGATTCGTTGTCGAGCTTCTGCTGGATCAACTGAAGAATTCCAGCATGGCAGCGGACCAACACACCCAATGCCTTTCTGCCAGACGTGCCTCCCCGATGCCCATAGCTGTCAGACCTGCTTCCGTCCAGGAGCTTGGGCCTGTTTCCTGTCTCTTTCGTGTGTTCTTGAAACATGCACGGCATGCCGGACGTCAGAGCTGCCTTTGCGGGCACGGATGGAAGCGGCGGCCTCTTACTTGACAAGGGGCCTGGCCTCTTCGAAACGTCAAATCACGCATTCGTCTTCACTTCGAGTAAGGAACAAGCTTTGAACAGTTTGACATAATCTTCTTGGAATGCCAATGTCTGCCGATAATATACATACAGCAGGATCACACGCCCCTTTCTGTCATGGGCATGTCGTAATCTGACCTTCGTAGATACCGTTATCCGTGTCCTCCCGTCCGTCCGACCCGTCCCTGATCCCTCTATGCTGCAGTCGTCGCGCATTCTACCCGCGCGCGCCCTTCTCTTTTTTGTATGCTGAGTGGAGTAGTGTCTATCGTTTGTTGCGGGCCAATGGCCGTCATCGCTCGCTTTCCGAAAAAGCCCCTGTGAACGGGTGGCTCTGCCCCTTTGACCCTATTGCTTCCGCAACGCCGTGGTAACCCGCCCCGAAACACGTCGGGGATGAATTCGACTCCCACACCCAAATTCAGACTCCTAAAAAGCCAAGCACAATCTGACATAGGAAACGGAAGTGGAAAAGATGCCTCCGGCGCACTGCCGATTATCACAACCTAGCCGCCCATCCTACCCAGACACCCCGAACCCTCGGTCCACCGGCGTCAAAACACACAACGGGGTATCAAACAAAACGGTAGTTGAGGGCAATTACAAAGGAAATATGGTAATCTGAAAGGACACGCAGACCTGCTGCTCAATGCGTGCTTCGATGAATTGACAAAGGATGGTTGCGGTCGAGGAGAAGCTTAGTTTTGGGCAGCAGCTTCCTCACCACCGCCACCGCCGAGGAGCTCCAGCACCTTGTTGACAACGGCGCTAGGGTAGCCGCGGCAGAGCATCTCGCCAACGACGCCCTTGGCCTTCTCGCGCTCCTCGACAGCGAGGAAGGCGCGGGTCATGGCCTCGTACGTGCTGGGTTCGCGCTTGTCGTGGACGACGGAGTCATAGATGGACTGAGCCTTGTCGATGTTCTTCTCAGCAGCCCAGCCGTGGATCAGGGTGTTGGCGATGTACGGGGTCATCTCAACACCGCGGCGGCGCATCTGTCCGAGAACTGCCTCGGTGTCGGCAACCTTGTGGTTGGCAACCATGGCCTCGAACAGAGCCTGGAAGAGGCTGGCGTTGACAGAGACGGAGCGGTCAGCCATGACGGAGTCGAACACCTTGCGGGCTCCCTCCATGTC